ATTGGGTGGCTGGAGATCATTGCTTGTTGTCACTTTAGGTGGGGGGGGAGGGAAAGACCAGTAGGTTACACATTCTGGTTATGAGGAGCATGCACAATGAATAGAATTAATAGTCTACTTACTGTAACTATTTAATTTAGATTTTAAATATATGATTTTAACAAATACAACCGAAACATAATGTTCAAATACTACTAAGTCCTAGGACTCTATATATTAACAAAAAAAGATTTTTCAGACCTCAACTAAAGTTTTGTTTATTTTAGTATAAACCGAGTACAACATTGAGTTCAGCACAAGTATTTTTACAATCTGATGTGAGTCAAAAACGGTGTCAGACCTGAGTATATTACATGCAGCTTCCACACGCAATAAGCTCTCAGCATTTCTCCTCTATTTTTGGTTAATAGTCTCTGCCAGATTCAGTCATTCTCATAGATTTGCTTATTTGATGCAAAGTGTAAAGTCCTTTGTACCTGGACGACTGGGCAACGGCGGCAGCCTCTGGCTCGATGGCGCTGCTGTGACACTCTGTACTGGCTGAAGTAATACTGAATTGGAGTGTTTCGGAAACTGAAAGCATAACACATGTTCAGGCATACATTTTCCATGAAGCATTTTTGTTACTTAGGTTTCCAGGCTTCCAGCTGGCATTTCTCCAAGTACCATATACACTCGACTGGGTGAGAACTAGTCATTTTTACTACTTTCATTTTAAAGTAATAACTACTTGTAAAATTGACTACTTTTCTGCATCGTTTTATGCTCATTATGTTCCATTTCCCATTTAAAATGTAAAATGTATTTTAAAATAACATTTTTAAGGAAGAATCAGAATTTTTGTGGCTCAATCTAGCTTCTGTTTCACCCTGAATATGAAATCTCAGCCTTGAACAGGAATGAAATTCAGTTTACAAATAGGCATGCAGTGATGCTATCAAATCAAGGCTATGAAAGATAAATTTCTTCTTTATCTAGGTTTAGGCAGCACACCCAAATAAAGATACAAACTGAGAGGCTAAGTCAGGAAAATGATAAATTTGAGGCTAACCCTGTCTGTACAGCAAGACCCTGTCTCAACCAAAAGTACTTCCTGTAATGTCCTCCTTAATCCTATGAAGTAAGTCCTGGACATCTACCTTTTGGCTACCAGGTACTGTTAAGACCAGAAGTAAACAGACGGAATACCTGATGTACCAGACAAGAAATGGAAATCATCATCCACTGGCCTGTTTTATGGTAAAAGCAGGGTAACTGGGAGAAGAAAGACAGAGGTAGAGTGGGAGCCTGCTCTGACAACCTGGTCACAGGAATGCCTCAGCCCTGGGGACCTTCAGGCAGAGCGCTGATTATTAGGGTACACAAGTTTCTGGGCTCTGAAATCAGCAAAAGCTAACATGGTTGAAGCACAGTGAGCCACGAAGTCGGGCTTCAGGCAGGAGAAGTAACGGGCGGGGTGATATTGGCATTCCAGGCTCTTACAGAATAAAACAGAACGACAAGCAGGTGGGTTTTGAGCAGATGAGTGGCATGACTGAAGGAGACTTCTTGGGTTTCTTTCTTGCTTTCTTTTTTTTTTTCCTTAAGAGTAGATGACAGTCTGGGATGGGGCTGGAGAGAAGCATTAGGAGGCAAAGGCTTAAAGCAAGCCTGGAGAGGTGAGATGTGGACAATTAACACTTTAAAAGCAGAAGGAGAAACAAGTTTAAGTGATCTTTGCCAAAGCTTGACTGTTTAGTGGAGTATGGAGTCTGCTAGAAGAGCTGGTTGAAAGTAGTTACTGGGAAGGAAAGGGTGAGTAAACACAAAAGTGACAGTGAATTCTGAGTACAGTGAGCAGTGTCCAGGCTGGATATAAAAGTTTGTTGATTGTCAAATTGTGGCTATTTTAAGGCAGGAACCAAAGCTAGGCACAGTGATTATTTAGATGGTAAAGAGATAAAGCTTCAGAGTTCAGGGCTAGCTATGGCTAAATGAGACCCCATCTAAAAGGAGAAAGAGGGAGAAACAAAAGACCCTAAAGGAATGAAAGTAGATAAGACAGAGAGGGAAGTCTGGTCATGGGGTTTGCAACACTGAAATATCAGGAGAGAAGAGGCTATGAAAAGAAATGGAAAGAAACAAGGAGTATGGGAGAGTCATATATATACAAAAGAGGAAGAGATTAACTGTTAAGGCTAGGACTGAAATTGAAGCTTAAGTGTGACTATGTGAAAGACACTGGTGACCTTCAAAAGGGTTGAGAGAGGGAGAGATGAACCACTTTGGAATCTTTACACATGAACAATGTTAAAGGAACTATAACTTTTTTTTTTCCTTACAGTGTTGGAGATCATACTAGACAGGTGTTATACCACTGAGTGAAATTATACAATCATGATTGCTAATCATCTTATCTAAGACAAGTAAAATAAAATTTGTCCATCTTCGAAAGTTTGAGGTTGCCAACAATAGCTGTGTCAACTCTAAAGTTACACAGAACAGAGCGTAAGAATCAACAAGCAGTGCTTTGGGTCGTGATCATCTGCTGACCAGGTGAACTGCTAGCAAAAGGGTTTTGTTACTCACATTATCATACGTGTGACTTGAGGCAAGGTTTTGGCTGGTCCTTTGGGCAAACCTAAGATAGTGTGACAACACAGCATGATTACCCTACAGTGAGAACACAAATGCAAAAAGTAAGATGATCTTCCTGGTCTGAAAATAAAGCCTGGAGCACACCTTCAAACTACACAAGATGACACCCCACTTCAAACTCACAAAATGATAGCAACTGCCATTTGGTTTTAGTGCCTTCCAGGTCAGGTCATGAAACTCAACATCAAAAACGGCAAATGCATCAGTCCTTGGCAGTAGCGGACTTGAGGCCCTGAAGTGTGCACAGTACATCAGTGCAAGCACAGCCTTCATCAGTCTGTCCATTCATAGCTCCCACCCATTCATTATACCTTGAAACATGAGAAGTACCGCTGAGCAAAAGTTAGGGAAGATGGGAGAGTTCCCATTCTGGGTAAAGTGGAGTAGGAAAAAAATTTTTTTTTCTCTCCCATTACTCTTACAGACTGCCACTATAAGAGCTGGGAACAAAACAAAACAGAACAAAACAAAAAAAAACAGAAAAAGAAAAAAACTGAAACGAAGCTAGTCAGGAATGTGAAAATAGTAGCAGGTTGATTGAGAAGACCAAAATTTAAGTACCAGGATACTGTTGCTGAGTTTACCCTTTTTTGTATTCTCTTCATTTGAATGCAGCCTGCACCCCAAGTACAGGTAGAAATGATTACAGTACAAAAAACAAACAAACAAACAAACAACTATTTGCATGCAGGGAGGAAGAAAGACACTTCTAGCTGCCTCTGACCCACCTTCACATCCCAAACATAACCAACCCCAGGCTGGCTGCAATGGCTCCGGAGGCAACAGGGATGGCAGGAGATTAAAAACTCTTGAATGAGGGAAACTGCCTTTCCAATTGGCTGAGCTGTGACTGCAAAAGCATGAGGAGAACTGCTGGGGTTTTTTTGTGGTTGTTTGTTTTTTTCTCCTACCATCCGTCTGGAGCAATTGCACCAGAAGAATGATGATAAGTAACTAGATAATCAGACAACCAGAGAACAGAGACGGGGAACTCCAGGACATCAGAGAAATCACAAGGTGGAGGAATTCAGGAAAACAATCTTGCAAAGTTGTTATGAAACCCTAAGATTGACCTGCTAATGTTGTGAAGTTGATCACCATAATGATGTCAAAATATTCACATCATCATTATTGGACACAACCTGCTATTGATTGACCAAGGGTGCTGTATGGCTGGGCAGATTTGAACAGCATAGCATAGGCTCTAAAACTTAGCTGACTTTCGAATCATATACACGAGGCAGGCAGAAATTCTGAAGTGAATCTAACCAAGTTCTTTGCTTACTAGGATCAAAGTGTCAACATAGATTGCATTTTACCAAAACCAAACATATACTAGTAAAAAAAAATTGCCAAAGGTATAATTCAAAATGACTAGGCATATAAAGAAACAGAAAAAAATGTAAGAGGACAGCAGACAGAAATGAATACCAAAAGAACCTGAATGCCAGAGTTATACAAAGAGATTTTAAAGCAGCTAAGATTGGAGGATAAATATTCCAAGAAGCAAGCACTCAGTAATACTTTTAAAAATAGAAAAAAAAATGGAAAGTATCAGCTAACAAGTAGAAAACATAAAAAAAAAAAAGTGAAAATTTTTAAAATGAAAAATATAACAGAAACAAACTTAGAATCAGTTTGACTGTGAGATGGAGATGACAGTACAGTTAGTGAGCTTGAACATAGATTGTAGACATGGTCCACTTTGAACTAGAGTGAAAGAGACTAAATAAGAGGCCCTAAAACACTTAGGAGATGACATAGATCCAACAACTGTAACCAGGGTTCCAGCAGGAAAACGGAATGTGTGTAGCACTGAAAATAAATAAGAGGAAATAACAGCTGAAAAGTAGTTTGGTGAAAGACAAACTCATAGATTCTAGAGAGCCTGTGTAGTGAACTGAACATTGTTCACCCTCTCCTAAAGGATACGTTCAAGTCATAATGCCTGGAACCTGTGTTGTCTTTCAGAAAAGAGTGCTCCATGCCTGCAGTTAAGGATCTTCACCTGGCTGTTCTGACTGAGCGACAAGTCCACTGTATCTTAGATAAGCTTAGCGAGATTTTAGTTGCACATAAAAGGCCCAGAGGATAGAGGCAGAATTTGGAATGGCCAATAAACCAGTGAAGCCAAGGAATACCAAGTCACCAAAACGAAGAAGAGGTAGAGGACAGATTGTTACTGAAAAAAATGCTAGACAGACTGAATTTCAGACTTCTGGCTTGCGTAACTATGAGATAATAAGTATCTGTGGTTTTAAACCATCTACTTTGTGGGCGTTTGTAACGGTAGCCATAGGAAACTAATGTACTCAGAAAACCCTACACAGATATGTCAAAAGAAATCATACCCACACATCATAAACTGCTCATTATTAAAGGAGGCGAAAACCCCCCCCCAAAAAAAAAAAAAAACCAAAAAACTTAAGGCAGAGTACACTATCTACAGAGAAATAACTACTTAATACCACTTTTTGTTTTAAGCAAACACGGGTTTGCAATTCTTCTGGGATGCTTGCTAGAACTAAAGATTTGTCCTGCTGAGTCAGAAGCTATGGGGTCTAGCAAATGACATATGATCTGCATTTTCAAGTTCACTATGTGACATTAACAGTCATCCTAGCAATCCTATGCACAGTGGAGTATAACTAAACACCAGAAGCTGAGATTTGGTTGTTTTGGAACGTTACAGGGAGACATTTGCTGCAAGGCAAATTTTCTGTGTTATTCATTCTCATGTTACCCTGCAAAGTTAACAGGACAAGAGGAAAACAGCTACTGCCTATTCCTAATTTAAGACTGCGGGTCCAAAATAAATGCAGTGTGAAGCTTATTAGATATTGTTACTTGTCCCTTATAAAGTCACCTAATTTTTTGATATTGTATCTCTACAGCCAAACACTTCAATGTTGGCCAATCTCAGAGGTAAAAACAAATTACCTAAATCAGATATGATGGCTCATGGCTATAATCCCAGAACTGAGGAGACTAAGGTAGGGAGATTACTGTGGATTTACTGCCAGCCTTGGCTACTTAGTGAGTTCTGGGTCAGCCTGTGCTATAGAATGAAGCATTCTAAGAGAAAACAAACAAACAAACAAAAAAAAGATGAAGTCAGTCAGTCAACCAACTGGTGTTTTGCTGACAGTTCTGTAAGAAATCTGAAGGTCGTTTCTCATGTTTATGAGCTACCAATATTTCCTTATGAGCCACTGGTCTTTCTGTTTTGGTGATCTTGTTAATTACTATGTGGATTCTGGCAAGTTCCATTCCTATGGCCCAGTCCCCTCTTCTGTACAAAAGGAATACTGATCATGACACTAATCAAAAGGAAAAAAAAAAAAAAAAACTCACAAAAATCTTTTGCAAACAATTACATAAAAACAACAAAGTCATAGAGCATTGCTATTTGTGGGCATTTCACAAAATTAGTGCATTTATTCTCACCAAAATCATTCCTTGTCTTCCTTTGTCGCTGTGCTTCCCATAACTGACCATGAACAAAATCAGAGAAACAGACATGTTGAAGGCTTACTATCGGGTGTAGTAAGTGCTATGCTAGGAATTTCACTTACATTTTATGGCCCTTGTGAGACTCCTAAGAAATATTCGTAGAGGAAAATGACAACTCACAGTGGCTAAGCATTTCATGCTATGTTAGACTGCTAAAAGGAAGCAAGGCTAAGACTCTGACACAGGTCTGTCTGACTGTGAAGTCTCTATTTTTCTATACCAGGTGTTGCATAGCTGTTTCCTTTAAGATTTAAACCCTTCCATCTTGGAGGGAGGTTCCTTAAAACACCGGATGTTTAAGGGGAGGGGAAACAATAGGATGTTCTACTGGTGGTTTAACATTCCATCCTCCAAGGACTCTCCTTATGCTCAGGAGGTAATCAAATCTATAGCTTCAGGAAGTCACTAAAACTGACCAGATTCCTTGGTTGGAGTATCAGTCTCAGGAAAGACCCCTGTGCTCAGACCTTTTGGTTCTGTTGCTCTCCTTATGGAGTTCCTATCCTCTCCAGATCTTACTGTTTCCCACTTCTTTCATAAGATTCCCTGCACTCTGCCCAAAGGTTGCCCATAAGTCTCAGCATCTGCATCAATAGTCTGCAGGGCAGAGCCTTTCAGAGGTTCTCTGTGTCAGGCTCCTGACTTGTTCCCTCTTTTCTCCTTCTGATGTCTATCCTCTTTGCCTTTCTGGATAGGGATTGAACATTTTAGCAAGAGTCCTCCCTCTTGATTAGTTTCTTTAGGTGTAGTTTTTAGTAGGTTTATCCTATATTATATGTCTATATGAGTGAGTATATACCGTATGCATCTTTCTGCTTCTGGGATGGCTCACTCAGGATGATCTTTTTCAGAAGACCCCTACATAGATGTAGCCCATGGCAGTTCAGTATCCAAGTGGGTTCCATTGTAATAGGAACAGGGACTGTCTCTGACATGAACTGATTGGCCTGCTCTTTAATTACCTCCCCCTGAGGGGGAAGCAGAATTACGAGGCCACAGAAGATGACAATGCAGGCACTCCTGATGAGACCTAATTGACTAGGATCAGAAGGAAGGAAAAGAAGACCTCCCCTATCAGTGGACTTGGTGAGGGGCATGTATGCAGAGGGTGGAGGAAGGGAGGGATTGGGACGGGAAGAGGGAGGGAACCACAGGGGGAATACAAAGTGAATAAAGTGTAATTAATAAAGAATTTAAAAAAAATGGCCAGATTCACTAGGTGCCGCCTTCTCCCAGCACATCAGCTATAAGGACAGCTAAGAGACTCTCTGAGACAAGAGATGCTGCCTAGAAGAGGCTTAGACCAGCAGAGGCACCTGGAAGAAGATGAGACCAGCTAAGGTACTTGGAAGAAATAGAACAACTGAGCTACCTGGAAGAGAGACACCCTCTTGTGAGACGACTGCAGGTTCTACAATGATACCCAGTTTTCCAGCTTCCATGAACTGTCACATATGCTGAGGTAGGCTTTTTGGTGCTGCAGCTTCTTTAAGTCATTTCTGCTCCCGTAAGTAACCCCTCACCCATACTCCTGTAAGTAATGCCAATAAAACTCACGGTTCACCATGTTAGAGTTTGGTGGTTTATCTGTACTTTGGTCTGCTGTGCGATCCCTGTGTGGGGTGAATAGATGCTTTTTGGTGTCTCCCCCAAAATAGTGTCACACAAAAAACATATTTTCTTACATAAGGAACTGGAATGCCCTGGCATTCCCTGGTGTTGCTGACATACTTACAGGGTGGGTATTTCTGTATTTTCTGATGCTAGCAAATCCACTTGTGGATGAAGACTGGGATACAAGTTGTTTGTGGTGACAGGGCTTGGAGAGTTGACACCTAGAATATAAAATGTATTTGTTTGTTTGTTTGTTTTTTTAAGTGATTTTTATCGTGCTCATGGGTACCATTATTATGCTCAATTTTCTGCAGTTAAAAAAATGATTAATTTAACATGCCACAGAGGGCCTCTGAAAGGCTCTGCCCTGCAGACTATCAAAGCAGATGCTGAGATCTATGGCCAACTGTTGGGCAGAGTGCATGGAATCTTATGAAAGAAGTGGGAAATAGTAAGATCTGGAGAGGATAGGAGCTCCACAAGGAGAGCAACAGAACCAAAAAATTTGAACACAGGGGTCTTTCCAGAGACTCATACTCCAACCAAGGACCATGCATGGTGATAACCTAGAACCCCTGCACAGATGTAGCCCATGGTAGTTCATTGTCCAAGTGGGTTCCATAGTAATGGGAAGAGGGACTGCCTCTGACATGAACTGATTGGCCTGCTCTTTGATCACTGAGGGGGGAGCAGCCTTACCAAGCCACAGAAGATGACAATGCAGCCACTCCTGATGAGATCTGATAGACTAGGATCAGAAGGAAGGAAAGGAAGACCTCCCCTATCAGCAGACTTGGGGAGGAGGCATGCAAGGAGAAGGGGGAGGGAAGGTGGGATTAGGAGGGGAGGAGGGAGAGGTTTATGAAGGGATACAAAGTGAATAAAGTGTAATTAATAAAAATTAAAAGCAAAACAAAACAAAATGATTAATTTAGACTTCTGTTGCCATAAAATCATATGGCTTCCTCTAAGAGAGACTGAAAAACATCAGTATAGGGGACAGAAAAAGAGACGAAGACAATCCTTGCCACATAAAAAGGCTGTCATACATGGAAAATATTATATATGGGATTTTCAAGCTGATCCAAAACAGAGACAATTGCACATGTCTTCTGCCTAGCACAAAAGTGAACACTTACAATTTCTATAGAACTTCACTTCTTAGCTCTTAAATTGTCATAATTTTAAGACACCAAAAGGGAATAATTATCTTTTTTCTTTTTTTTACCAAAAATCCAAAATAAAAACCCACAAAAACTCTGTATTGCAAGTGGTCCCACAAATCTCACTGGATTATGTAAGGAAGATATCAATATTTCAGAAATGAAGAAAGCTGTAAGGAAACCACAAATTCAATACTGAATACTTTTGCTGTGGAAACACCAAAATGTAAGGGAAAAACAAATTATGGTTTGGCTGAACTCTAATTGTAGATTTTTTTTTTCATCATGCTTATTTTGTACCAATAAGAACACTTGTTGGAAATAAGGATAGAAGATAGCAAAAGTTAGCTAAGGTAGGATATTCCAAGCCTGCAGTGCATCATTTCATTTGTCTTCACAATGTTTTCAGGAAACCACTGCTTCTCCTCAGAGAGTAGGGAAGACTCAAAGTTTAGGGGGGGCAGAACTGGACCACCAACTTGCATTTCTCACTGCCTTCTCATTTCACCACCATTCAGTTTTGCCTCATAACCCCTGAATTCCTTTGTCTGCATCAGTTAGTCCCTTATTTGATGCTGTACAACAGAGGCATATCTCAATAGAAGTCCATGTTCAGAAGAGATTTAACTATTGGCTAGCAAGAAGTAAAACCTCTGCGGGTCAGGTAAATTCCACGGGATTCTGATTCAGTGGGACGAGTTCCAAAACCCTCCCTGACACACCCGATTCGTTTGCTGCATCTAACCCAACTAAGTTGCAGGGAAGTGACTACATGTCCTGGTAAGAGTTCTCTCGTGACTGACTTCTGCTTGTCAGGAGGCATTCAACTAGGAAAGCAGGGAGAACTCTCTCCTATCAGGCTCCTCTGTTGGGGAGAGGAGAGCTGGGTGCTTATTTACTTAAGCCTGACAGCTGAGCATTCACGGTGCTGAGACCTCCTCCATTGGACACGGGCACTGGCACGACAGGACTTAGGTCCAGAAGATCACAGGAAGGAGCAGAGGGCTCGTTGGAAGTCTGGAAACAAAGCAAAGAAAGATACAGTTTAGGGGGGAAAAATCATGCAACTTATCATGATTCTCTCCACACACATTCCTTTGGATAGTTTTTGAGGAAAACTTTAGCCATGAGGCCATAGTATAAATCACATCTTACTAAGTACACGAGTCCTTGTTTGGAGTTACGACTTAAGATGGAAACCACACCACCAAAGCCAATGCAGGCTGCTGTTGTGTGTTTCCTTTTAAAGAGATGTTCTTAGGCAATCTTTGCTTCCTGAAGGATAGTTAGGAAGATACACAGTCATTTACTTTATGGCGTTTCTAATGACTTACATTGGTGGTTTCCTTCGGGCTCCTATTCTGTTCCAGAAGCCTTTGTTGGTTTCGAGTAAACCTGTTTAAATTAGCACAGTGCAACATCACTTATCGCACAAAGCCTAGCATTATCAAATACACTGTTAGCCACTACAATGACGCTGAGCCTCACCCTTACTCAACTCCAGGAAAATGCTTTTAGTAACTCTTTTCCAGGAGTGGGGGTATGGCTTAGAGATAAGAGTTTGAAGCTCTGCATTCAGTCCCACAAAATAGCCACTAAACCCTTTTGTATAGTTCATAGAGTACCACCCTTTCAGAGAAAATTGTGAGGAAATACAAACATGGAAAAAAAAAAAGCACTTGATAAATCCTGTTTTCTAGAAACTAGCTCTATTAGTAATCTGTACAGTACATGTAATTTCTAAGTGAATTTTATTTGTAATTAAATTTTATTTATTTATCTCAACTACTTTGAGATAGTTTTGCCACGTAGCACAGGCTAGACCTATGATCTTCCTGCCTGAACCTGAGTGCTAGAATTATAGCACTCTACTGACTGCAAAGGTATGGAGATCGAGGCTCCATTAGGACCTCCAAAATGAAATGTAGCCCTGCTGAAGTCTGGAATCCAGTCCAGAGACACTCACTTGCACCTTCTACCCTGGAGAACTTAGTTTATGAACTAATAATAAATCTGTGTTGCTTCAAACCACGGAGCTCATGGCAGAAAAGCAGAACTGACGAGCATCTTTCCTGGCAGCCCCATTTCTCTATCTCAGGATTCAAGGACCACAGTCACCGTGGTACATCTTGTTCAGAGCTGAGTCAGACCAAGCAATCCAATTTGCTGATCTAGACCAAATAAACCAACGTTCTTTCTCAGAGGAAGCATTTAACCAATGGTCTTACAGTTGGCAACAGAATCCTCCCAAATGAAAACCAGACAGCAGCAGCAATACTGAAAACCATGTGGTGCTCTTAGATACTTTTATGCTTCTAGAGAATTATGTCACAAGAAAGAGCAAGCATTGTGAGTTGGTCCAGTGCTTAGACCATGGTGTCTGGGCTCACAGTCATGTTTTCTTACAAAAACTGCTGTCCCTAAGAGGCGTTGGATGTGAGACCATGAAGTATAGCTGTTGGCTTTGTCTTCCTGATTCTCTTGGCTCATTATTGATGGAGGAAGGTAAAGAGTGAAAAATCTTTGTGATTTTTTAAAAAGTTTTAATGGAATACTAATAAGGAGGAGTAAAATGGCAATTCAATGTAGAAAGTATTGGAGTATAATTCAGTGAGAGAGCACCTGTTTGCCAGAGACTAAGTCCTGAGTTTAATCCTAGCATTACATGAAAATATCTCATGGATGTCAACATGTTACCTTGTTGGCTGTTTTAAATATTCATTATTTCATTTATTCCTGAAAAAAAAAAATCAACCCCTCCAAAGATAGATTTTTTTTTTTTTAAAAGGAAGGCTTCCGAATGTTAGGAAACTAATCTATATCCTCTTATATCATCTAGATTTGAATTTAGGCCTGCTCACTTCTTTCTTATGCCAGACTTGCCTCATTCTTCATCTGTTTGTTAGAAATGTAGCCAATATGCAATTAAATAGTCCCAGTAATTCTTAATAGTAACAGCATGTTTCTAGGGTGTCTGTTGAGTCACTTCAACTCCGAAGAGCACTTCTGGTATTTGGGGAGTAGTGGCCACACAAGAGAAAACTATTCTATCCACCATGCCACTCCTATTGAGAGAAAAAGATGTAGAAAGAATACTCCGGTGGGTTCTCTAGAAGGAATGCTGACTACATGGTGGGGAAACTAGATCCAGAAGAGGGTGAAAAGGCACACGATCTGCTCACCTCTCATACCCCAGGATGGCGTTATTCAGGTCCTCATTCACTTGAATTAACTCAACAGTCACATCTTCATTTTCCACGACCACCAGCAGGTCCATGATCCTCTCCTGCATCTCCTGACCCGTCTTGTAAAGTTTCTGTGAGGCATGAGGAAAGGTTTCTTTTTCCATGCTGGGGTTGCTCTTTAAAAACCACTGACTCAGCAGTCTACATACAAGTCTACATACATCCGCGATCACTCCCACGCTGCCACCCAGGGGCCATCAAGCTTTTCAACTGCGGACAGTTCGTCCTTCCATCAGAGGGTGGCAAAAGAAGGCAGAATTTTTTATTTTTATTTTTTCTCTAAAAGTACAATGTGGTACGCTGAAATGCTGTATGGAAATTCTAGGCGCCCCGTTTAATAACTGAGCTTATTGGAAGGGAGAATTCCTTGTCTTCTAGATTTTAGTTTTCCCACTAATAAATGAAAAATAACCACGTGCCACATCTACCTCCAGGGCTGGCATGAAGAGCGAATGAGATGTGTGAGATGGAGCTCTGTAACTACAGAGCATAAACATGAACTGTTGTTGTCATTATTAGCAAGGGCAGAAGAGTAGTTAAGAAGCATTTACAGCACGGGGGCGTAACTTTACTTCCTGTTCCATGTATTTAAGCCTCTAATGTTTATAGCTACATCACATTCAATATAAACGGAACCAGGATTTAAAAGCTCATTGCGGATAATGACCTTATTTGGACTACTTCAAATCACTGCCTTGAGCCAAGACATTACCCCACAGCCAGCTTTTTCTCATAAGCGTCATCTGCATCCATAGAGCACTTAACTGATTCAGCAACCTCAAGGTTCAGTCTGGGGAATCTACATTTTCCTTAACAAGTGCGCCAAAGTGTTTCTTAAATGTCCTGACATTTGAAATCCGCTGCCTTGCAACCGACTTCCTTTTAGCTAACCTCCAATAAACCCAAGGTGCACAGGCTTATATTAGCATCAACTCCATCCATCATGGCTACATTCTTCTGTGCATCAGCCCAGTATCAGCAGGCAAAACTACAGGGATGTCTCCACTCTCTCAGCAACAGCATGAGAACTTGCTTACACATCATGCAATTATACAATCTGACTTCCCAAGAAAGGTGCACTGAAAAATCTATGCTTCACTAAACCATTCAGAATCTCAGACACTCACTCTAAGATGAGACTCCTGACAGGAGATCCGGAAATAAAATAATTCAAACTATTACTAACTGGCATTTAGACCATCTCTGCAAAAACATGAAAATATTTAGAGGACAAAATTAAATAAAAAAGAAAGGTGATAGGCTGGAGGGAGGGGGTGATAGGCATTATACCCACAGTGTCAAGCCAGATAAACTGTCCATGGGGTAAAAGTTTTGTTTGTTTTCCCCCCAGATCTTAAATACTTGCTACTAGGGCCATCTAGTCTCAGGCAACTGTTCAACTCTGCACTCTAACACAAGAATGCAGGAAAGGAAGTCCCATAGTAGGTGTGGCAGGTAGGAGGCTATAGGCAAAGAGATAAGACTTTGGGGACTCAGTAGACCAAAGGTGGCTCCAACACAGTCATAGGAAACGATGTGTTTGAAGCCCTGCAGTGACCAGCATACAGCAAGGTGTGAATAAATGCATCCTCGTTGCCTAAGGAAGGGTCACTAGAAGATTTCCCAGATAATTAATATAATTTGTAACACTTCCACTATTGCTTAGGTCCTAATATCACCAATGGATGAATGATTCTTTTATTCTTGCTTCCAACTGTACTGAAAGTTGTACAGAAAGTTCTCCTCTTGATGCTCTTAGGAAGCCCTGCTAGAACAGGGTCAAAATCAAGGAAGGCAATGGTGTTAGATGCCCAAGACAAAAATGTAGAAATTAATTGAAATGAATTTGCAGCCAGCATCAATAGCTCCAGTCATGGGAAGACCCTCCCTTTGCCCTTTGGAAAGACAGATGGAGAGGAAACATGAAAGGAACAGCACATCTCAGCAGGCTTACAAAGCAGAATGTGAAAAAATTCTTCAAAAGCCAGCCCACTCTGATCTTTGCAATTGATGTCTGTCTCAGAGGAGGGCCACACCACCTGCAAACAGCAGAGATCAAGCACTGCTGACCCCCCCAAAAAACAAAACAAAACAAAAAACAGGGGCCAGAGTGCTCCATGCAGGCCTTTATTGGGCTACGGATGCAGGGAGTAGAAAGAGAGGGACAGTGGCTAATGTATGTGTCCATCACAGAAGCCAGAACTGTCTATTATAAAAACACACGCTATGGTGTGTTTGACAATTGCAAAGGCTTTGGAACACAACACAGAGGCTCAATAAGAGCTTCCTTTCCCTGAGCTGTCTCCCTGACTTTCATGGAACGTGTAGGAAATAAGAAAGGAGATGCAACTTCCAGCACCAAACTATGGTCACCCCACATTCCCAACAAGGAATGCACTAAAACAAACAAACAAAAATACACAACAACAGCAAAAACCGAAGGAAAGAAAAGATGGCTAAACAACCCTTTTGAAAAAGGAAACACAGGAAATAGTATGTGTTCATGAAAGCTTCTCTGGAAATAGTCTCTGTATGGCAATGACCCCATTATCTGCCCGAAGCACATTTCCTTTCTCACAGCATTCCCCACCCAGCCTGCAAGAGACAAACAGCACGCCTGTCTGCTCAAAGGAAAACCTCTCTCACTCCGAACCGGAACAAACTGCCAATGTAACCCTCATAAGCTCATTAACTTACTACAACTCTCTCAGCTTCCCCACTCTATTGCCTCAACAATTTACTTCTTGAATGTGCTGGTCTTCAGAAACTTCCAACTTCTTTTGCCCTGAAGTTTTCATTCTTCAACAGGGCATTGATGCATACAACTCAATGGATATTTAATTAACTCCTCTAGTATTAAAAGCACACGCTGTAAATAAACATTTGAAGTACGGTGGTTAGGCAACTAGTCAAACATTAGCTAGTTTGAAGTCACTGAGGATGGCCAGCTCCCTCAGTCAGCTCAAGACCCCACATCCTATGTTCTTGCAAATGCTCATTCTAAAGAAGGAGGATGTATCACCATTGCCCTTCTTTAGAATGGAAGTAATGGTAGTTAATCATAAGAAACCTTTCTCCTAAAGGACTTAGTGGTTGATAATACCCTTTGATTAAAAACAGCAGGAATTTCCTTTGCCTAGGCAAGGCCAGAACCTCCTGGGCAAGAAGAAAATCCTGTTACACAACTTCAGAGAACAGCCTGAAACCAGAATATGAAGAGAAACATGATATTCCTGAACATGTTAAGACCACTAAGGGAATAACTACCTCCTTAATGGCATACATACTTTAGATACCATTCCCTCTGTGTGTTTGCTTGCTAACCCTCTGGGCTAAGACTGCCTTTTCTAACTTAGAAAGCTTTTTCTTTTCCCTCTTCCCCATTTCAGACACCAGCCAGAATCCTAAGCCTGCCTGCCCTGATTCCTTTGGGCATTCTCACTCCCTGTGAACCGCCCCCCAACCCTCTAGCAGCTGCTCAGAATTCCGTTGCTGAGCCAGCTCACTTCCCTGACCTCTAACTCAGAAAGCATGACTTTCTTTCAGGGCTCCATCTCCCTCCTTGCAGCAGCTGCCAATACCTCCAGCTTGTTTGTTTGTCATGCTGCTGCTTTCTCAAACTCTGGAGTTAGTTTTGAAACTTTTTTATGTACAAGACTAAGAACTTGCAGAAGGGAGCCCATGCTTCTCAATGTCACTGTGATGACTTTAAAAGCAAAGGCCTTAGTTAACTGCCTCAAGTTCCTTCCAAAAAACCCCCACAAAACTCATTCAGATTTCTAACCTGTGGCTAAAGCACACAGGTTAGAAATCTGCAGCCAGTCCTGGATTCCAAACAGGAAAGGAATTGGTACCAATAGACTTTTCCTTGGGAGAGCAGGTTATTCAACACTTCATCACGTTATCCTGTGTGTAAATGGTCCCCTTTCTGACTATACAGCTTAGCTCTAAAGGGAAGGAGACACAGTCCAAGATACTTGAAAAGCCTATTCTGCTCCACTTCTTTATTTTTTAAATTTTTTATTTATTACAATTTATTCACTTTGTATCCCAGCTGTTGTAGCTCCCTCCCTTATCCCGTCGCAGTCCAGCCTCCCTCCCTCTTCTCCTTCCATGCCCTTTCCCAAGTCTACTGATAGGGGAGGTCCTCCTCCTCTTACATCTGACCCTAGCCTATCAGGTCTCATCAGGACTGTCTGCATTGTCTTCCTCTGTGGCCTGGTAAGGCTGCCCCCCCCCCCCCTTCAGGGGGAGGAGATCAAAGAGCCAGCCACTGAGTTCATGTCAGAGATAGTCCCTGTTCCCTTTATTAGGAAACCCACTTGGACACTGAGCTTTCATGAGCTACATCTATGCAGGGGTTCTAGGTTCTCTCCATGAATGGTCCTTGGTTGGAGTATCAGACTCAGGAAAGACCCCTGGGCCCAGATTTTTTTGGTTCTGTCATTCTCCTTGTGGAGCTCCTGTCCCTTCTAGGTCTTTCTATCTTCCCCTTCTTTCATAAGATTTCCTGCATTCTGCCCAAAGTTTGGCTATGAGTCTCAGCATCTGCTTTGATACCCTGCTGGGCAGTCTTTCAGAGGCCCTCTGTGGTAAGCTCCTGTCCTGTTCCCTGTTTTCTCCATCTTCCAAGGTCTATCCCATTTGCCTTTCTGAATGAGGACTGTCTGCTTCACTTCCTATGAGTGACAAAAACAATGAGAACAGCCAAAGGATAACTGCTTTTCCTTCCTTTTCTTTGCCTTTTTTCCCCCCTTTATTTTCTGTTTTTTTTTTTTTTTTTCTTTTCTTTTCTCTCTCTCTTAACTGGTTTACAAATTATCTTCCCAGGATCCAATTTTATTTTCCAATGCTCTTATGTTTCTCTAGTAAGCGAATTCAAAGTTTTCTCTATTTACATTTTCAAGATCTGGATTCCCTTTATTCTTCTCCTCTGTCCTACAAAACAAGGGCAAAACAAGAAAAGAAAACCCAGTAGGTGTGGTGGTATATACTTGTGACAACTCAAGAGGATGAGGTTGGAAAGCAATGAGCACAAGGCCACACTGGCTAGCACCACAAGATCTTGTCTTAAAAATGGAAAAAGGAAGAAAAGAAGAAGGGGAAGGGGTACTCAGAAAGGAGAAGAAAGTACCAAGAAGGAAACTAGCTGTTCAGGGCAACATGCCCAAAGCCCAGTGCACAAAATGTCAAGGAAGCGAATCCAGGGAAGATACAGGGCAATTCTTTATTCCTCAGGCATATTTAAATAACACTGACTGCAGCCTCCCAAGCCTCACACTCTATGCAGGCAAAAGGAATCCAGTCTCCACCCAGTGAAGTTCTAAGTCCACAGTAACACAGCAGTAAGGAAAAGAGCTATCTACCTCTGACTCAAAAGTACAGGAGTGCTGTGAGTCAGCAGGGCTTCGGGATCTAAAGGCTTAACACAGACCTGGAGAACAGGGAGGGCTTCCAAGTGATTAGATTCAGATAGAAGGGCACAGAGAACAAGTTCCAAATAAATGGAGTCACCATGAACAGATGCACAGAAAACAAGAGGCCTCAATGCTAGCAAATAGTCACTGGTTACATTTGTGTGCTGAAAAGGCCCAGCAAGTTGAGTGGAGACTGCTCCTATTTGCTGACTACCTTCCTTCCATTTGTCTTCCAGACCCAAAGATCACACACTGTTCTGATGACCACAATGCCCACTGGTTTCTGACAGGGTTCAACTAACAGGGTATGCTGGCAGGTGATAGGCAGAAGGAGTGAGAACATCTTCTGGGTATTCACTCTGTCTGCTTCTACCGGTGGTGTGATGTGCTCAAGACACCCTCTGCACAGAATTCCTTCCTGTCCATAATTCCACCTGGATGCTTATATCTTCTCCAATGACAATCTAGGCTCACGCTGAGCCTCTAGAATCCCCTGCAGTCCTCTGAAGACGGCCAATCAGGAAGTAAGAGTTTATCTTCCATTACCCAGGATTGACCTGACATTGGGCAATCACAGTTCAGACAGGTATAAGAAAATTGAAACAGTGAAAAATAAGCTAAAGAATCACTTTTTTTTTTTTTTTTTTTTTATCTAAAGTCAACCCTTCCTGATCTCACTTATAAATATTTATCTTTAAACATAGGCTCCTAGTCATTTCTCTGCACAGAAGACTACATGTGTTTCGTTGTTTTGGCTTAACCACAATAGTTGATTAGAATAAAGAAAGTTAATTAGAGTAAAAATGAAATTAAGAACAGCTTTGTTCACACCATCCCTTTATGTATTACTTACAAAAAGCATAGGAAGAAATTTAAAGTTCAGTGTTGTACAGTCTTTGTAACCAAGTAGATCTGTGTCAGAATTGAGCATGGCTGGATTCTAACGTTGACTCATCACCTAAGTGTCCTTATGATGAAGAGCAATTCACAGCCGTGGGCTCTAGCATCAGAACAGCAAGCAACAAACGACTATCATACTTGAAAACCACTACACCGCTGCACCCACAGACCGAAACCAAAAGATATTTGTTCTTAATGGAATATCATATAAGACCCGGTTCACACACTTAAATGGAAAATCTCAGCATACATTTTTTATTGAAGGATTGTTTGGTATGGATGGGTGAGAACATGAGAGGAAAGTCATAAATTACTTCATTTTAGGGCTTACAACAGGTTTGAGAAGATCATGTTAAACTAGAAATATTGCTGCGGGAAATTTTAAAATGCTACCTGTAACATACCCTACAAATTGTACATCTAAAAATGGGTCAATTGTGGTTTTTTAAAGTATTACTTCATATGAACTCCAAAGATTGATTCTTCTTTTATTCTCCTATACTGATGAGATGCCATTAATATTACTTTCTGTTTATTAAATCTGATGAAAGATCTTCATTTTATACAACTAGGAAAAGTCCAATGAAAATAGAGAACTCCAAGAATGTTGAGTAAAATTGTACAATGCTAAGTAAAATATTCTAAATAAAATACACCTACATTGAGCCAGGTGTACTGTCACGCACCTTTAACCTCAGTATTTAGAAGACTGAAGCACAAGGACTGGCATGAGTTGGCAGGCTGGGCTTCACAGTGAATACAAGAATAGCTTGGATTATAAAGCAGGACCCTGATTTAAAAAAAAAATAATCTGCCTCTCCAAGTTATATTACTCTTACGTTTTCTATTATACATTTAGCAAGCAGAGGTTCTTAGATCAAATACATTTGTAAATGTTGGATTAAGCAGCCTTTAAAATATCATATATCGTACCTGTTATGTTATAACATCATAACTTCACAAATGTTTAAAAGGAGAAGTACAGTAGGCTATTTGTTTTGTTTTTGAGACAAGTTCTCACTGTATAGCCCTAGTTGGCCTGTAACTCACTACATAGACCAAAGTGGCCTCCAACTAACAGATCTATCTGTCTCTGCCTCCCACTACAAGGCATGCACGCACCACTATGTCCGGAAAAACTGGTTTTGTAAATTTACCAGCCTTGTATCATTTCTTATAGTTTATACCACATACTTTAACAACAAGGATAAATGCGTTCTTAAGTTGTTTCCTAAAATGTGGCCTTCCTTCCATAGAATCAAAGCCACAAGAAGGATCTTTTAAAGGTAGATCTAGTTTTATAAATTCTCAGATTTCTATGCTCATTCATCTACTTATTCATCACTCATTCATCACTCTATGGCCCAAGCTATCTTGAACTAACAAAGCAGGCCATATTAGTACCAACTGGAGATATTTCTGCCTCAGCCTCCAGCCTCTCCTGGAATTCTAATTAAGCTCCCTCTAGGGTATAACATGAGGTCCCCAGTAAAACAGGGAAGAGGACAAATCTAGCTATTCTCATCTAGAACTTGAGGTTTTCAAATTGGGGGCTGAAATCATATTATAGATAACATACCTTACTGATAGCATAAGCCCTCGTACATTGATGGGAGGCACGGTGCTTTGAAGGGTGTTTGTGAGGTCCTAGTGGTTTCTGCTATGGGCTTGCATAGATAAAGAGAGATTGCCTGTGGGATTCCTTTGTTTAATTTTTATAACAATATTTAAGGAAGTTTGTGGGAGATGTGTGTGTGTGTGTGTGTGTGTGTGTGTAAAATGTTTCTAGGTGGGACCTAGTACTAGGACAGTCTTTTTTCCTACTGCTGGGAATATCTAGAAAGACAGTAGAAAGTTGATAACCCAGAAGATCAGACACCCCTGTAGCCCAGCCAGCATCATACCATTCACAAACTTGAACGCTGCACGGCAATAACAACCACATGCTGCAGAGGTGGCATCCTCTCGGCATGGGTCAGCAGACAATGGACAACAGCTGGAAAGAGCCTCTCACAAGATGTAAGAGACAACAACACAGGAATATGTAAAGAAGAGTCCACATGGCAGATAGAAAACAGCTTTAAAAATGATTACTGTCAGAAACAGGAGAAAACAACCACAACAACAACAAAAAAACTGGCAACGCTATAGAAATCCACATAGAGCTTTAAACAAAAAGGTAATAATTGAAATTATTTGGTAGGAAGGCTGACTAGGGAAACTGACACATACGTTTTTAAGAAACAATGCATCAAATGCAGATTTTTTTTTCAAGGACTACAGCTCAAACAAATGAAGAAAAGAGATAATAAAATCCAACTGCAAGTCTCATTGTCTATAAAACTATGTACAACTAGAAAGAATGGAAGACAGCTACAATAAGAACTAAATATTTCTTAAAACTGAAACTGATAAGGCTGATAAGGATCTAGAAAACTACCAAGCAGGAAAATTGGGGAATTTTTACGTGTACATACATACACAAATATCTCATAGCAGAAAGATGAAATGCCAAAAAAAAAAAAAAAAAAAAAAAAAAAAAAAATTAGAGGGGAAAAAAACCACAAAAAAAAACTAGGAAAAAAATAGCTTATTGATTATGAAACAAATCAGGAGGAATCAGAGCTTGATGACTGTTGTCATCAGCACCATAGGATGCAGGAGAACAATGGAACATCTTCGTCCAAAGACTCAGGGAAAAGAACGCTATGCCTAGAATCTACCCAGCTACATTAACTGGCATTTAACATGGAACAACAACAACAAAAAAGTTCTTGGATATACTGGTACACAAAGTTTACTCCTAGTAGGATGGTTTGCTTCAGCCACTGAAAATAAGAGTAAGTAGGAGGAAGGTAACACCAGGATGGGAAATGAGGAGTGGGGCTCAGAGCTGACTGAAAACACGAGGAGGTTTTCTTAACTTTCCAGAAAGACTTAGAAACTCACTTTCCCCCCTAACTGCCTCTTAAACCAATGAACTGATTAGGGGATTATATATCTTACTGTTTCATTTTGTTAGACAGAGTCTTCCCGTGTTGCTCATGCAATGTTGGAAACCCCTGCACCCAAGAGATCTTCCTGCCTAAGCCTCCCAATTGCAAGCATTACATATGTACGTACGTGCCTCAGTGTAATTAGCAAATACTACAATTTAACATTGATAATTAAAAACCAATAGAGGGAAGGAGATGGAGAAAAAGTGTGGGATAGCCATCCAGCCACTCATGTGGGTTCAGGTACCAAAGGACCCGGTATTAGTACTCTACTCACAATCATGCCAAGGGCTGACACATTTTCACCCGAGCATTTGCGCTACTTTACTATGTTGTTTACAAGCAAACCTAGCTAAGGCCTAGGACAGCCCCTTCATTTCTACACCCTTACCTATATCACAGCTATTCAGTGTTAGATGAACAGAGGGACAAGAGGCAATTTCACGTGCTTCAAATGTGAGGCTGGATTGCATGTCACTGAGGCTATAAATTACAGTAAATAATTTCTTATAAAAAGCCAGGCTTGATTATGTCCGTTACTACTGCATCTTTGACAAAATGATTACTAGATCTTTTCATTAAGTTTAGAATCAAAGAAAGCCGGGATCTAAGGGGACAGACCATTAGATGCTATTAACGAAGCTTTCCATCTCTGAAGTGCAAAGTTTTCTGAAAATAACTTTTCAGAACTCTCTGCCCAATTGTCCCTGGGCTCATACCTTCAGGAGCTCTACGTCTTCAGGGTTTTCAGACCCAGGAGTGTTCTCCATCAATATGGCAGTCATGACTTTCACATTCATTTTCACCATATCCAATTCACTATGCAATTTCCCGATCTGTGGAGAGCAATGTAGCCTCCAGTCATGAAGAGTGATACACAGACAGTTGGCTGTCTTCCTTCCTGCCCACGGGACAAATGCTGGAATATCAAATGCCTTTGCAACATGCAATGTTTTCAAATATACGGAGGTTTGTCTCAGCATACGTATAATTATTTTACAAATTATACCCTGCTGTTTCCTGAATAGACTTGGTATTTCTTCTAAGAAAACCACAGATATGCCTCAGGAAAGTTAAAGAAACAAAATGATCTGGACCAATATGGAGAAAGAAGGGAATAACTAGCAGTAGAACTTAATAGGAATATGGAAAAAACGAGAAACGTTTTCACATTTTTTTACCCTGATTTTCTGGTAAACAATCAGAAAATAAAAGGAAAAAGGAAGGAGGCATAGTTTCAGAGTTATCATGGTATTACAGAAAGAAAAATAAAAGAGGAACACTTTTTAAAAAATGGTTTAAATTCTAAGAGGAAGTGATTATATGGCTTTTTAAAGTAAGAAATGCTGAATAATATTAATATAAAGCCTTCAAATTAATATAAAGTCTTCAACGATATCCTTTTAACACACAGATATAAATGAGCATCATTAATTATATTCATCTAGATCTCTTATAAACAGAGACTAAGGAGAAAATGCAATCCATTTGGTACAATTAACATAGGTAATAAGACAACGTACTACTGTGCTCTCTGAAATGGAAACAAAACACAGGAGTCAGTGGATGGAGTATGTGTGAGAAAGAGTGTGTGTGTGTGTGTGTGTGTGTGTGTGTGTGTGTGTGTGTGTGTG